AAATAACTCTTTATTATGCCATGGCTGGAATTTGCGATAGGCCCATTCCTTATTGAAAAATGCAGTTCAGTGAAGCAAGTGAATCGGCCACTGACGCCGAGGAAACATGCAGACGGGAGTTTTGGAAGCCTTGGTTCGCCTTCAGGAAATCGGTTATGCAATAAACGCATCGCGAAGTTCGAATAGTTGCGCTGCTGCCCCTTCTCTTATGGTCAGCCAAATATCGACGGCAATACTTTACTATGCTGCCGTGCTAAGGAAAAACACCGAATGAGCCTACAGATGTTGCCAAGTTTCCTCCGATAAAAACCGAATTTATTGGGAAAATTGCGAATATTATTTTCCGAAATTTTCAGACAATTTTGTACACAAATTAATCGAACATATCTTAAAGCTTCAAGGAAAATGACGCATAAATTTTATCAAAAATACATGTTTTATCAAGGGAAGTTTGGCAACTCTCGAATGCTCATACGGCGTTCTTCCTTAGCACGGCAATATGGACGGTGACGGGTTGTCGAGTAGGTTCAAGATTGGGCCATTGCTGGTAAGAACGTAAGTGACGCATGGCGGCCCGATTATTGAATCTATGTCGACAAGACAAAGCCCTATCTTAGCCTTGCAATAATTACAATAAATCGCATTTCGATGTCTTACCGTGCTGCTTTGAATTAACTTTCATCAATGGAACCTCAGAGAAGAAGCGAATTTAAGCTCACAAGTTTTCTTATTAAAATTTAGCGTAGAACACAACTCGTAAAACGACAATTACTGCAGGTATTAAGGTTTTATGATGCATGAATTCAAACTTCCCGTTGATGAAAAAAACAAAATCTCATTGAGTTAAATCGCACACATTAAATTGAGCACGCCAGACTTATCGTGACGATGATATGACGACGCGACGTTTTATTGACAAACATTTGGACCGCGTCAAGCAGAAAGGAATCAAGCCACATCAGCTATTGCCGAATTTAACCGGGCAATTTACTTTTTTACAAGGTAACGTTTGCGCAGATTCCTTTAAACATTTTAGAGAATTTGCTTCGTACTATGCAGAAAATGCACTGCACTTTGCAAAAAAATTCGCTCAACCATTTTCATGTGAAAAATTAAATTGCCCATTTAAGTATAGCAAAAGCTGATGTTACTCAGTTCTTTTCTGCTTAACGCGGTCCATTTTTCTGAGCTTCGGCTCAGCCATTGCATTTTGTTTACACTTCGAACAACACAGAACGGGGAAAAGACACTACTTGATTGAGAGACCTGCTAAAATCGGTATTGTGCGCGCGACTGGATTTTCCGAGACTCCAGTAATCATTTAAGCGGGAAACCCAAACTGCCTGTAATCAATACGGAATCAAGAAAAATATGCATGACTGTCCTAAAAAATAAGAGAAATAAAATCTAAAACGGGGCACAGGCTGTGCGAATAAAACAGTTTGAACGGGACGTTTCGGGATCAACAGGCCCTCTTTTAACCGCCGATGAGACAAAACAAAAAATTAAAAACACGTATGAACCGTCGCTTAACAGGGTATGACTTAAAAATAAGTATATTTTGAGAGTAAATTTGGCAACATTCGAATGCTAATAAGGCGTCCTTCCTTAGCACGGTATTTTAGGTGTCGTAGAGCGTCCCGGCCCACAGCGTAAGTTACTTCTGTATTTGTATATTTGAGACCGGAAGGGTTCCCGAGTAATTTGCGCTGTGCGCTCGAAGGGTCCCCAAAAGCTCCTCAAATGAAGGAGGAACAAATAAATGGCAAGTCTAATACATGGACACAACTTAACAGAAAAGGACCAAACTTACACCAGGATCAAATGGACTACATTTTGCAATTTGGAACTATAAATTCTAGCCCTGTTCAAGAACAACGTATGTTCCGTTAGTTTCCCTATGCACATGAGTGTTTTTCCAGAAGAGCCAGAATTTATAGTTCCAAATTGCAAAATGGAGTCCAAATATAGTAACGCAAATTTGGAGTTCTATTGATCCATAAGACTTGATAAAAGGATAAAAAACAACTTCAGCCTTTGATACTCTCCTTATTCCTAATTTTTACCCAGTTCTGGTCTAGTGGAAATTTGCAATAGTTCACGAGATTTCTTTCAGAAATTCTTTCGTATGTGAACATCAATGATTTGTCTTGCATAAATTTGAAGGAGTATCGAGTATTTTAACATTTGCGACATTACAGGCATTGAATAGAGAATTTGCAGGTGTCTTAAATTTTGTAAATTTCATCTTTAAAATGATACTACTAGGAAATCTGAGTACGAGGATATCCTTGGTTTCTAAATTGGACAATTATTGGAGAAAATATGAAAAAATAACCTAATTTGCCAAAATACACGTGTACAAATGGAAAATTCCGCCAATGACGTCACTAGGTGGTGCATTTTCTCACTTTTAAATCTATATCTCTCTAATGTCTCATATCAGAAAAAAAATATGAAAAATACTGTGAACTCAGTTCATTAAGCACTTTCAGATGAAGCAATAAAAAAATTTCATGAAAATTCTCCATTTTGCGTCATATCGTCACCTTCCGGCCAAAGTATATCACAAGCGCCATGCGACATTTAAAAATTTCCGCCACCATTTTATTTTTTACATAGTAATTGTTGGTTGAATCTGTTTGAAAATTTCACGGAATTTTATCGGCAGCACAGAGAAAATTCAGTGAAATTCTCGGACAGCTTCGTCGAACGATTTCTCTATAAAAAAATAAAATTGCGGCGGAAGTTTTTAATCGTCGCGTGCCGTTTAAGATACTTTGGCCGGAAGATGACGGTATATTGATAATCAGTGGTAAAGTGGGATTATTGCCACGAGGAGCTCCCCAAAAATGTATTTCAAATACATTACACAACTTCAGTTTTATCTTAAGTAGAAACATGTCAGAATGTGATGCATCGCCACCACATATCACGGAGTTGTCAACACGGAAAACTTATTAATAAGTGAATTTAAGGAACTGACAAGTCCGCCACGCGCTGCGCGAAGCATTCTAACAAAGTTCCACGGGAAATGCAACAGCAGTCATTGCTGAGTACATTTGAAAACATGGTAAATAAAATCATCTGCAATCCCATTCTACCTCTTAATAACTTTTAAAATTCAGATCATGTCTAAATCTTACATCAAGACATGAGTTTTTTACTGCAATCCTGTTGCACGGGACATTATAAACATGGTTTCTTGCAATTTAATTCATTTGCACAAAACTCTTTTTAGCATTAATACGTCAAATTACACGAAAAAAAAAAATGATATGGCTGATTTAATAATTTTCTAGTCAAAAATATTCTAATTTTGTCCACTATTGAAAACTATACGTTTGAAACATGTCGGACATATTTCTTAACACTTTATTGGAGAATTCGTAAGTGTTTAAAATCTGGTATATGTCGTTCCTAAATGGATACAACTGGGTGAACTGAACACGAGGATATCCTTGGTTCATGAATTGAGCAATAATTGGCGGAAATATGATGAGAATACCGAATCTGTGAAATACACATGTGTTTAAATCGGAAATGCTGCCAGATGACGTCACTAGGCGGGGCATTTTCTCACTTTTAAATCTATTTTTACACCATTTCCCATATCAGAAAAAAATTATGAAAATACTGCGAAATCAGATCTTAAAGCACTCTCAGATGAAGCAATAAATTTGCGTGCAAATTCTCCATTGGTAAATCAGCAATCCATTTGTTTCCGTGTATCTGTTTATTTGTAGAAAAGAGTATTCCTTGTGAAAAAAATCCCTCTGAACCTCTTTAATATTTTTTTAGAGCTCTTAAGCACTATTTAACGAGTGAGGAATCCAGCAAACCTAGTATTATTTTTAGAGAGGTCATTTTAGAAAGGCCCACAATAAATACCTAAAGAATTGATCGGAGAATCCACCGATGCACATACACATACAATTTACTACGAACTCTACCATTTTTTTCACGTGCATGTACAATATATACTTTTTATTTGCATTACCTTACTTCATCTTTCTTATTTACCTCATGTGCGATAGAAAATATTGTATTATTTTATTATACTTTATGAGCATGACCTGTACATAGCCCTAAATGAGCTACTGTCCGAATTATAAAAATTGGACGTATTTATGTCAAAAGAAACTTTGTCGCATAAACACCCTCTGCATATAGTTCCTTTTGACAGAAATACGACCATTTGACCGATAGACAAGGTAAGAAAAATTAGGAGGTTATAGCTCTACTGATTCTAATGTAAATTACAGACAAAATCGGCTATATTAATTGATTATGTGCGCACGCATTTAGCACGTTGAGCGCGTTTTGCGTGAAATTAAGATGAGATCAGTGCCTATTTGTTACACTGGAAAAAAAAAAAAAAACACATTGGATCTAGAGTCCAGACTCTTGAAAACATTGACAAGAAAAAGGACTCTTGATTCAATCAGATTTAAGCTTAAATCAAAAGGAAATCCGCTCAAACTGAGAGACTTGGTTCTTGATTTAAGCTTCAATCTGATTGAATCAAGAGTATTTTTTCTTGTCGATGTTTTTAAGAGTCTGGACTATGGATCCATTGTGTTTTTTTTTCCAGTGTAGCAACATTGGAATGCTCTTGGTTCCTTTTTGCTGAATGCAATCCAAATCAGCAATCAATTGGATCGCATGTAGCAAAAAGGAACCAGCGTGACTACAGTGTCTTAAAATGTTGCTTTTTCATAATTATCTAAAGAAATCTTCCAGAATATAAATCGTTTTTTCCTTCTACCAAAAAATTGTTAATTTTAAAGAAAAATAATTGAGTACATTTTGAGTACTGTACATATATTAAGTATTTGTAAAAAAAGAAGAGGTTACACGATTTTGAAAACACTGTGATCGGGCTGGTTCCTTTTTGCTAAATGCGATCCAATTTATTCTGTGATTATTTTTCTTTTCTTCTTTTTTTCTTTTTTTATTCTTTAAATAAACCGTGGCGTGAAATTCGTAGGAGATCCTACCTGTTCGGTTGAGGAGGACACCTAGTAGGAAGACGAGCGTGGCGGCGTGGAGCATGACCGCGTGATTCTCGCGAGTTTTCCGCGGGCGGGGAGGAGCGAAAGCGCGACCGGCGGCGGCTCGGGACGGAAGCCTCACTGCCGCGGAATCCCTGCGGGCCCTGTAGCGCCCGCACCCGCCGACGACGACAACATGCGCCCGGCAGATGTTCCCGCCACGCATGTCGCATGTGTTCCGCTCTTCCTCTTCGCCGACTCGCCAGACCGAGCGACAACAGAGCCGTCGTCCTCGCGTCTCCGGCCGGGGAGGCACGCATTCCGAAGTGACATACTAAGAGACCTCAGGCGAATTTTTGCCATGGATTTGGTTGATTTTTTTAACCAGATCGGCAGGGTTGCAAACCAAAGAAGAAAAACGCTCTGCTGCAGTCAAGAACTAGATTCAGCTGCTTGAAGAATTTCGGCCAACATTTGCATCCATCCACTTTAAACCCACCTCTGGAGGTGGGTCGAGAATTTTGGATGTGCAGGATGGTCGTTATTGCTGCCAGCTTAAAAACCAAATGTTGTAAGCGCACCGTCGCGTCATCCGGAGGGAATTTCGTTTTGTCCTAACGGAGGTTGGCACACTGAAAAAAAATTCTCGGCGTTTTACTACCAAGGTCCGTTGGTACCTTTACCATCTCTTTTTTTTACCAATTATTGGTAATTTTACCAAGACAGGCTGGTAAGCTTACCTATAAAAACCGGTATTTTTAATGTTTTTTTCAGGTAAGAATACCACTTTTATTGGTAATCGCTTCCCGGTTACTTTGCCATTTTATCTCGGTAATTCTACCACAGTCGATAAAAAATATTGGCGTTTTTACCAAGGTCCAGTAAAATTACCTAGAAAGCTCAATAATTTTACCGAGATTTCTCGGTAAAATTACCAATTCCATAGATGGTAATTTATTCAAGAAAAAACTGGGATCAAATAGCAGCCTGAATTCTTGGTAATCTTACCCTTTTCTTAGTAAATACACCGAGACTTTTTTTCCAGTATATAAGAGCCCTCAGGCGAGTTTTTGCGATGGATTTGGTCAACTTTTTCAACCAGATCGGCAGGGTTGCAAACCAAAGAAGAAAAACGCTCTGCTGCAGTCAAGAACTAGATTCAGCTGCTTGATAAATTTTGGCTAACGTTCCTGGGCGGAACTAGGAATTTTCTGTGGGGGGGGGGGCATAGGAGGATATAGAACTTGGGCTAAGGGGGGTCTGGGGGGACTACCCCAGCTGCAGAGTGGGGTCCGGGGCCTCCTCCCCCGAAAATTGTTTGAAAATTCGAACGTCTTGAGAGCGATCTTAAGCCATTCTGTATGACAAATTAAATGGAATTAAATATTACAGATGACAGAAGTTTTGCGGACTTATTTTTAAAAATATCATATCTTACTGTGGGTTTTAATTTAATTCATCTTAATTTAACTCTCATGAAAACAAGTCTCGCCCTAAAATGCGCGAAAAACCACAATTGGACAGAGTCAAACTACATTCAAAGTTCTTTACTCGCAGGAAGCTGCTCATGCTATTTCAGTGATTCCATCTAAAAGAGATTAGACGAATTTTGAAGGAATCTCAAAGTCGAAAATTTGACTTTAATTGCTCTCTTCGCTATACCACGGCAGTATCGGGACCCGAAAGGCAAATTTCGCGAGTGGATATGATCGAAGTTTTTAACTTAGTGCCAACCTTCGTTACAGCAAAACGAGATTCCCACTGGGTGACAGAGTGCTTACAACATTTTGGTTTTCATGCTGGCAGCAATGACGATCGCATCCAAAATTCTCGACCATCCACCAATGGGTTGAAGATTCAGAGGAAAATCAAGTCACCTTTTAGGAGAACATGAATCAGAAATGGCTTTTACTGTACGGACGTGATGGCGAAGAAAGCAGTAAGTGCAAAATTTTTGAAACCGAGTTTCCTTCGAAATTCGTTCAATCTCTTTTAGATGAGATCACTAAAATAACTAAAACAGCAAAATTCATCTTATATTCATGAAGATGAGAAATATAAGATATCCGTGAGTGCACAAAACATGTCGTAGTTTCAGGGAAAACAGCTGTAAGTGACATTATTCCTCCAGAGTGCCAATGATAACACTGCTTTCAAGTGGATTTCATTTTGCAATAAGGAACCGCACTATCTCTAGCTTTCCCATAAAAGCACATATCTGCATAGGGAAACCAATGGCATGTATGTTGTTTTTAAAATGGGTCAGAAATAGTGGTTCCTTATTGCAAAGTGTAATCCAAATAAATTAGTGTCGATCGCCCAATCTTCTACCAATTTCTAACCTGAAAATGTGTTTGTTGTGTGTGCAAAACGCAACCACGAAAGCATGCAGAAGAAAGCACATACGGCTGTCTTGCCTACCACTACCTAGCCTAACATGAAAATGGATAATACCATTTTTATGTAATTGAAATAAAATCGTTCGATTTTCAATCATCCATACGATTTTTAAGGGTCTTTCTCATGATTAGTGGCAATTTCACAAAGGTCTGATGCTTTTTTCAATAAAATTTTCCCGTCAGACGCATGTGAGCCCAATTTCTCAAAATTTCTGTTTGGCACTTACAACTCTCTTCGCTACCACGGCAGAACAGTCAGCCCCAAATAAAAAAGAGAGAGTAGATACAGCGTGTTCCTAAGACTTATCTCGATGGTTCTTGGATGTTTGGCGGCAAAGAAGGCCCAGATAATCATATCTTGTTTAGAGGCCCTTGCATCATGGTTTTCGGACGAAGATGGTGCCCCTTCTTTCCATGCATTATTTTAAATGGACTGCATTTTTCAATTTGGAACTATAAATTCTGGCCCGGTTCAAAAACAACGTATAAGCCATTAGTTTCCCAATGCACATAAGTGTTTTTTTTTCAGATGAGCCAGAATTTTCAGTTCCAAATTGCAAAATGCAGTCCAAATGAGGGACTTGGATGACAAAGCGCACAAGTGCAGTTTTTGCTATTTCGAGAAACACTTATTTGAAGTTTCGAAATTACGTGGATCCGTGCGGCAAAAAAAAAGTTCAAACTGACTTGTTGATGCTTAAAAAGTGGAATTAGAGAGCGAGTATTTCGCAGACATGCATTAAGACTAGTTTCACTTGAAATAATTGCTATCTCCATTTATTCAAAAACTGCACTCCAAACTCTTCAAATATTGAAAGTCTTAGAGGGTACAATGTATCTGCAGGTTCTGCATACCCGTATCCACCACACACATAAGTTCTTCTTCTTCCTCTAACGAGTAGGGCGTAGCCCTGTTTGTCAGGTCGTCCACCATCGACAATGGAGCACAATACACTATATAAGTATTCAAAATCTAAAAATCTGAAAATCACTAAAAATAAAGGACTCGCCAAATCAATAAAAACAGCGTAAAATCTTCAATCATCCTCAAGAGAAAAGAGCCGGTTTTGTGTCCATCTCTTAGACGGTCATGTAACTTAGGCACGCACATGTAAAACTGTTAAACCTTCCTAAAAATAACTTGGTATTTGGAGTGTAGCCGAGTGCTAGAAATAATGTAAAATTTTCTTTAAAAAACTTACATTTTATTAACAAACTTATACCGAAGCTTTCCGAGGCAAACGCTTCATCGTCAGGGTCACAAAATCGATATCACAAAGGCCATAATTTAATTTCAAACAAGGTAACAGATTTCATTGATGGTAAAAATTTATAACAAGCTATTAGATCAAAACACTCTTAATAATCAAAACATTGTCAATGTAAGCTTCGAAAACCTTCGGTCTAAGTTTGTTAATAAAATGTAAGTTTTTTAAAGAAAATCTTACATTATTTCTAGCACTCGGCTACACTTTAAATACCAATATATTCAGTGCTACTACCTTTCAGACATTGTATTACATTGTTCGCTGATTTTCCTAAAAATAACCGATTGGGAGAATGAAACCTCAATTTTCACCGCAGCGCGCCCCTCGATTGGAACGTCATTTGCAAGCGACCCCTAACTTCCTTGTCCCTAATTAATTAATACCAATCTTTAAAATTACGGCTGAAATTGAGCGCAAATTAAGTTAAACCGAAAGGAAAAGCCTTCACTCGCGCGCGAGAATTCAGGGAAGGGGAAGGGGGATATTCAGATTATGCTAATCGGCTGAATTTTCTCACAAGTTTATCCCGCCTCCGCGAGATTCGTGTGTTGAACGTCGCTGAAAGGCTGACGTAGGCAGGCAAGTATCCAGCGGCGTGGCGTGAATAATCGATTATCGATATTTCCCCATTTGAATCCGTGGTAAAGAATCGATTATTAAGGTGTTCGCTGCAAACACCCTGTTAATGGACCACTAGACAAGGTACGAATTGCAGCATTCTGATACATGTTTCTTAACTAAAATTTCACGTAGAACACGATGCGCACAACGAAAATTACCGAAATCAACTCCTTCTGAAGATATTTAATGATTCTTGATGCGAGAATTCAAACCACCCGCTCATGAAAACTCAATGCTCTGCGTGATTCACAACGCGCGCTAAACGTTATCATGAACGTCTCTGCGATATAAAAATCTGGCAACCTCAATCTTGACGCTTTGGCTTAGCTATAGCAAATTGCCTATAGTTTGAACAACATGGTGGGAAATGAACATTGCTCGAATGAGAAGCTTGCTGAAATCGTTGTGGTGCGCGATTTGACTCACGTAGAGCTTTGAGTTTCTTGTGAGCGGGCAGTTCAAATTCCTCGTAACCAATGTGAAATAAAAACGTTAATATCTTCGTTAGTAGTTAGTCTCAGTAATTTTCGTTGTGCAAATCGTGTTCTACGTAAAATTTTGGTTAAGAAACGTGTATCAGATTGCTTAAATTCGTACCTTGTCCAGTGGTCCATTGATCCTTTTCCATAGTTTTAAATGACTGATCAATCGATATATCGCAAAGCACGCCACGCCACCGAATATTTACGAAACTGCTCAAATCAGTCCATCGTACGCTCTGCCGTGCTAAGGAAGAACGCCGTATGAACATTCGAGAATTGCCAAATTTTCCTCTGTAAAATATTTATTTTTGAGAAAAATTATAAATATTTTTCCTTGAAATTTTCAGGAACCATA